ACTGGCCAGCTGTGGGACCGTCCTTGTCTCTGTGAGGCGGCCCATTCAGGGCTCTCAGAGCTCTAAACCATGGCCCGCCACTGCCCAGGTCTTGGGGGGCCACCCTGAGCTCCCCCTGTCCCCGAGATGCAGACACCTGGGGCAGGGGGGAACACGAGGGGGCGTGGGATGGAGCAGGCGAGTCTTAAGGCTTCTCTGGGCTGCTCTGGGGGGCGCACCCCGGGGCGGGCAGGTACCAGCCCTATCTGTCCTTGCTGCCCCCACCTGGGAGAGGTAAGGACGCCACCTCCCTCCTCCCAAATGCGCCTGCGTGGTTCCAGCCGCGCTTCTCCACTAAGTGGGTCTCACTCACCATCAGCCCGTGGAGGCCTTGCACACTTGGGCTATTAGGGCTGCAGTAACTTAATTGCTCGTTAATTGGGTAATTAGTGCTTTGTTTTGCTTTAAAGCCTAAACACTCATAAAAAGTGAATTAGCTGAGTAAACAAGTGTGGGATTTTCAGGGTCCTCATCTAGCTATCGTGCATAATTAATCAGGCTCACTGTGACTTTCTGAGCCAGCGTGGCCTAGGGCCCTTTGCAGGGTGATCCTGGAGCCCCAGCCCTGTCCCAGCTGCCCTGAGGGAGTCCCTGGCATGGGGTCCTGATCAGAAGGGCCAGATTGAGACTGGGTTTCAGACCCCATGCACCCATTCTCCTGGGTGGGCTCCCAACTACTCTGCCTCAGTTTCCCCATCCATAAGCAGGTGGGTCGGTGGTGGGTCCTGAGTTGTATAGAAGTGACTCCAGTGAGCCAATGCGCCATCAGCCCCACACCCCACAGCATGCCAGGCCTCCCGCCAGCGGGATGTGGGGCTCCCCTCTCCTGCCTGCCTTGTGGTGTCAGGATTGCTGTCCAGCACAACCAAACCGCAGCTTCTACCCTGTTGCCGCCAGCAAATCCCTTCACCTGCTGGGCCCCCCGCTTCTTGTCTGTGGAGTCGGGGAACACCCAGATGATTACTGGCGGGCCCTGCTGCCCCGTGTGGTGCGCCCCATCCTTGCGTCTGGCCCGGTGCTTCAGACATGATCACCCAGTTGATCCCATGGACGCCCCAGCCACAGACCAGACCGCAACCCCCACCCCACCCCTGGCACTCCTGCCTATGAGGTCCCACGTCACTGCCCAGCATCTGAGGGTGAGGTGCTCTGACCAACAGGGGTGAAAAATGGCCTTTTCAGCCCGACTCCAGACAGTGGGTGATGGGAGGAGGCTCCGGGCCTCTGGAGTGTGTTCGCGGCTCCTTTTTTAGCTGAATTGCTTACTGGGGCACATGTTTCATATCCCGGGGGAGTGTTTACAGTACGATGGAAGGCGAGCACCTTGGGCCCTTCTCTGTGGGGGGGACGGGTGCCCACGTGGGCAGGCAGGGCAGCCACTCTCCTTCCCGAAGCTCTTCCGAGGCAGCAGCGATGGGTAGAACGTTCATGAAGCTGGAGCCGATGAGGCCATGGGAACTGTGAGCGTGGCCAGTGCTGCTGGGCCACATGCATAAGGACAGGTGACCCTGTGCCAGGTCACCTGGGCGCACATGTGCCCTGCACACACTGGGACACTGGGCAGGATACCCTGGGGCAGAGCATGCATTGGGCAGGACACCAGGCGCTTCCATGAGCCAGGCCTCAGGGTACACCTGGACATGTCTCAGAACGTGCACATCCATGACAGGCTGGCTGGGCCTGCACGCACATGCATGAGCCGTGACAGCAGGCCCAGCGAAAACAGCCCACATCAACAGTTTGTGCCTCTTGGAACTCCCCGGGTGTCCCCAGGGCACACAGCCCAGAGTGTGGCCTCAGCACCGACTGTCCAGCAGCTCAGACCTTTCTGCCCCATGCTCAGGTGGGCTGCCTAGAATGTTCCGTGGCCTTCCAGCCCACATTGACCGGGGGCCCTGCTGATTTGGTGTGCAGCTGCTCAGGGCTTTGTGGGTGGCAGTGCTCTTTGAGAGTGAGCTTCCAGCCGGCGAGGAGTCAGGTCCTCCGCAGCCCCTTGGCAGCCCTGTGAGCAGGACCTCCGCAGCAGACGTCCCAGACCACACGCTGCAGCGGGAGCGGAACCTGGTCTGGGTCCAGAGCACCAGGCCATGCGCCGACCCTCAGCCCTCTCTGACCCTGGATCGAGTGGGGTCACCTGAGTAGGAAGCTAGGGGGAGGCAGAAGCGAGCTGGGGTGGCTCGTAGTATCTTTCTCTATGGCAGGGCCCAGGGTAGCCTCTGGGCCCTCTCTATCTCCATGGCCTGAGGGGGCCCGCAGTGGGCAGGACGGACCCTGCCCCTGCTCCCAGCCTCTCTCCTCCCCACTCCCCGGGGGCACCTCTGGCCCAGGCCCAGATGCTAGAGCATCTGACGGGAGAAGTGGGCTCAGAGTCAAGGTCTCCCTGCCCATGAATTTTTCATGCCTTTGTTTGAGAAATGGGAGACAGGCAACCTCCACTAAGTACCACTATGAAGCAGTAATTAATGTTCACACTGAGAGAAGAAAAAGGTACATTTCTGTTGCAGCTCAGTGACCGTGTTGATTTGTGTCTCCTAATCCCGGAGGGTGACAGGCAGCCCCCACCCAAGCAGGTGGCTGCCCAGGTTTCTGGAAGAGGCCCGGGAATGGAGGCCCAATTCCCCAGACCTCCTGTGCAGGTGCTCCTGGACCGGGCAGGGCACTGTCAGTGAGAGGTGTCTGTGTCCAGACCCTGTGGGAGGCTGGATGCCTCCAAGAGCCGTTAGGTGATACGAGGGAAGAGGCTGAGGCAGAGGTAGTGGTGCTGAAGATGATGCTGGTGTTGATTGTGGTGGTGCTGGCGATGGCCATGAGGACGGTGATGGTGACGACCGTGACGGCGATGGTGGTGAGGATGGTGGTGCTCGTGATGGCAGTGAGGACGGTGATGGTGAGGATGACGGTGACGGTGATGAGGATGACATGGGTAGCAGCGACAGTGAAGAAGTGACCGTCATACTAACAATCATTCCAAGTACACACCCAGCACTGTCCTGGTGCTTCGCCTGTATTCACTCATTGGAGCTGCACGACAGCCTGTGGCCGGGCTGTTGTCTGTGGTACAGAAGCATTAACTGAGGCACGGAGAGGTCAAGGGGCCTGCCTGAGGCTGCCCGGGGTGGGTGGCAGCATGTACCCGGAGGATGTCTGCCCCTTTGCCCACGTTCTGGCCTCCCCACCGTAGCTAGCACATGCACTTGGGGCCTCGAGTCTGCCCTCTGCTCGTTGGGCTCCCTGCTTGGACCCGCACACACACCCCAGGGTTGCCCCCCCCCCCGGACCACCCAGCCCTGCTGGATCCCGTGAAGGTCACCTCTCTCAGGCAGCTCCTGTAAGACAGATGTGGCTCCTTTTCCCTCCTTGCCCTGATTAATTGCCTCATTCAGTTCCAACTCTATTGCAGTTAAACATTAATTCAGTAGGACTTAATGATGGGAACTCATTTATGACGTGGCCTGTGCTGGCTGACAAGGGGGTGCTGTTTGGTTCGTGACAGGGCCACGCATGCGCTCGTTGGGAAGCACCCTAGCCCCTCCTTGATCATCGGGTCGTTAAGCTCTCCCTGTGACATGGAAAGCTGCGGGGAGAGGTGTGGAACAGCCAGCCTGCGGGTTCCGGGTGCCTGGTCCTGCCTGGCACACAAGGCCCCACCCTCCCGGTGGTTTGATGGGACTGTGGTTTCCGACGCAAGGCCTAGGGCCGCTCACCACGCAGGAAGAGGCCCGGCTGGGGGCCTCCGGCGACTGCTCTGTGCCAGCTGCAGTGAGCGGGGCTCCTGGCATCCACCCCAGCCCCCCACACGCCAGGGCTCCCGTGGCAGAATTGGGTCCCAGCTCCGCAGGACAGGACCATGTGCTGCCCGTGTTTTGGTGTGTCCAGCCCCTCACCTCTCCCGTCCCGTCTTGCACGCTCCCCTCATCAGCCTGGGGTGCGCCTCCTCCTGGATTTCAGCTGCCCCTCCCTCTCCCTGCTCCCCGGACCTGCTCGTGAGGGACTGGCCTGGCCTCTTGCCATTGCACGACAGGGACGTGGGTGTGAGGACACCCCTCCCCACCAGGTCTCTGTCCAGGCCCTGCAGGGGGTCCACGGGGCTGTGGGGGTGGGACGCTTGTTAGCCTCAGAAGACCCCCCCCCCACAGCGTGCCCATCCCCCAGGGCCACTCCCAGCTGCAGTGGGTGCTGGTAAAGCATGGGGCCCATCTGTACTACTCTGAACTTTGCCATCGAGCGCACCCCGGCCCTCACCCTGGGGCGCCAAGGGCAGAGCACCCCCTCCCTGCACTCAGCGACTGGAGGACAGCAAGGCGTACGGCTGACAGGGACCTGTCACCCTCACTTGTGGCCGGGGAGATGTATTTTCAGCGGTAGCATTCATCTGACACAACGTGCTGTAATTGCGGTTGCTAGGACGGGATTATTTTTCTTTATGTTCTTTTAGGGGGAAAATTGCTGTGGTTCTAGAAGAGCAGTCTTTCTTTTTAAAGCTCTGCCTGCTGAAAATGGAAAACAAAGATTTGTTTGCACGATCGCCGACCTTTCTTTCATTAACTGAGCTAACACGCCCAGTGGTTTCTAACCAGGCCGCAGGGGCGCTTGGGGAGCCCTCCCTGCGGGCAGTCCCTGTGGCCGCAGGCCTGGCCTGACCCCTTTGTCTGTCCAAGGGATCTGAGCCCCCCTCTGCCCCTTCAGTAGAGCCAGGGCTGCTGGGGCTGGGCTGCCGTGGCCCTGCCCAGAGGGCACCCTTGATCCCACCCTCGGGCTCCCATCTGTGCCCACCACCCTGGAGGACAAGCTCCTCACCTCTGCCTGGCCCACCCCTGAAAGCCCTTGACCGAGGGCCTCGCTGGCACTCCGACCTCCAGATCCCTCCCAGGCCCCCCAAGGCCCAGTCACCCCACGAGGCTCCACCCACAACCCCTGCCCTGCGACGGGGTGCTGACTCTCCTGTCTCTCTCCCCCCACAGTGTGACAGCGAGAGCGAAGGGGACGACAAGGTAAGCCCCCCATACCTCCTCCCGAGACCTCCACCCACAGGGGTGCGGGACAAGTGGCCTCCTCACATGTCCTGGCCCTGTCTCTGCCAGGGATACCTGGGGGCGGGGGGCACTGTGGGCGGGGCGGGGGGGGCATGTTGTGGGTAAGTGCCACCCCCACCTTCCAGGCTGGGGTCCGGAAACATCACCAGAAAACAGATTTCCGCTAATAGCAGCGGCGCCTTAGCACTTAATTACCCTCCTTTTCAGGAACAATGAAGTTCCCATTAACACAGGATTTATGCACTTGGAGTGTTTAGCTCAGGAAAAACCACAGCGCAGGCCTGCTGGGGTGGGGGGGCCTTGGTCCTGGTCATTTGCCGGCCCTCGTGTGTCCCATGGGGAGCAGGGAGGAGGCCACCCCCAAGCCCTCAGCCCAGCTGCCATCTGTGGGGTCCCTGCTGTGTGCTGAGCGATGTGGAGGCGGGACTCGGCCCTGGCATTCACTCTCTGCCAGTCCTGAGACCCTGGGGGATGGGAACTGGGACCCCAAGGCATAGAGAGGGTCAGGAGCCTGCCCGAGGTCACACAGCTGGCCCCTGCAGTCCTCCAGAATATGGGCACGGCACAGCTGCAGAGAGCGGTAGCTGCTGGTGAGGCCGCCGGCAACAGCCGCACCGAGGGCGGGTGCCAGCTGGGCGAGGAGGACCGGAGTCCAGGCGGGGGACCAGGGTGTTCCCCCCTGGGGTCTGCTGCGCACTGGCTTCCAGGCCGGTTTTGTGAAGGGGAACCAAGTCCCGTGGGGAGGTCTGTGCGGTGCGAGACCATGCTGCATGGCCAGCTGCTGTGTCCCAGCCTGTCCCGGCCTGCGCTGGGCTGGCGCTGTCCGAGGCCTGGCCAGCCTGATGGCCACCCTTGGCAGACGTATGTGAGCAAGTGTGGGAAGGGCTGGGACGCTGCCTGGCAGGACAGGCCTGCGGAGGATGCCGGGGGCGGGGGTCCGGGTGACCAACCTCAGAGCCTGGTGGAGGGGAGGACGGGAAGGGCCCGGGGGCTCATCCGTGGCAGGGGGAGAGGCAGTGTGGATGGGTGAGGCCTGAGACCCGCCGTGCAAGGCGAGCCAGCCCAGAAGTCCTGCGTGGGGTCCTTACTGGGGTCTGGACCATTTGGGGAAGGTGGCCGGAGGGCGGACAGCTGGGAGTGAGCACCGCTGTCTGGGTTCCGGGGCAACGAAACTCAGCCGGCCGCCCCCCCACCCCCACTCCCGCCAGCCCCTCTGCAGAGCGGTTGCTCCCCAGACTCTCTGAGGAGTGAGATGAGGGGCCTCAGGAAACTGCCGAGCTGACCCCTCGCCTCCGGCCCCGCCTTTCCCTAAAACCACCTTGAGGGACGTGCTCTCTGAAGCCAGAGGTGCTGGGAGGGGGTTCAGAGGAAGGGGTTGCTGAGCCCCTGAGACCGCTGGCTGTCCCCGCCCAGGCCCCCTGGCCTGCCTTCCACAAAGAAACCAAGCTGCTGCGCCCCAAGTGGGTTCCTTCCGGGCTTCACTGTCCTGACTCGGCCGCCAGGTTGCACGGCGCCCAGAACCACGGCTCGCTCCTCTCGGCCAGGAGCATTGACCCCAGCCCTCCAAGGGCCTCTGGGGCCCCGTGCAGCCTGGCCTCTGGGTCACTGCTGGCCCTGGCCTGCTCTACCCTCTACCTCTGAGCCCGCCCCTGCTACGAGAGTGGGGACTCTGGGCGGCGGAGACCAGGGGTGGAGAGGGCAGACACCAGGGCGCAGCTCAGACTGTGCCCCAGGAACGAGCAGTCACTTTGGACATAGCCATCGATGCCCTGGACCAGGTGGCAGGCCACCACCAAGGGCTAGCAGGGGCTGTCACCGTGGCCTCCGCTGCACTCACCCTGAACAGGGAGCCTGCAGGCCAGTCTTAAGCAACGCTTGGGGACCAGCCTGGCCCAGCCTGGCAGAGGGACAAAGGGGACAGGTGTGCTCAGGAGGAGCTGACTCTGGATGGGTGCACTGTGGAGTCTGGGACTCATGATTCTTGTGTTTCTGGCAATTCCCTGTGCACCCCGAGGGAAGAAGCCCTGCCCTGGAGAGTCAGGAGGGTTAGAGTCTGAGTCCCAGAGCCCCCTGCCCGGAGGGTCTGGCTGGGGTCTTTGCTGGGGCTTGCTTCTCTGTTGGGCCATGCATAGCCACTTGGCCCAGACCTCCTCCAGGCTGCCGCTGAGGCTCGTGGCTGTGGGTCCTGGAAGGAAGGCTGTGGCCAGAGTCAGCCTTCTACAGACCTGTGTGCTGGGCTGTGGCCACCGTGAGTGGTCTGCACAGGTGATGTGGTGGCCCAGCCCGGCATGGGACAGCCCTTGGCTCTGGGACTCCAGAGAGCACAGGCCTCCTCCCCGGTCACCCAGGTTTGCCTCTCCCAGGAGTACCTGGGTCTTCTGCGACACTGGGGTGTGTCCCTGGGCAGCTTGGGATGGAGGCCAGAGGCCAGGTTAAGACCCCACGCAACTGACCGTGGGGCAGCATGGACTGGGCAGGTGGGCTTGGGCTGAGCCCCAAAGTTTGTGTGAATGTGGGGAGGTCTCAGGGCTTCCCCGAGAGGCTGCCTGGAGCAAGGGTTCCCTGAGGGGTGATTGGCCAACCACCACGGACGGGTTGTGCCTGGTCAGCACTGGCTGGGCCATGGTGCCTCACCAGGCTCTGTGTGGCTACCTGGGCTGCGGTTCTGGATGCTGTGACTGCCGCCCCTTGCCCTCCCCCCGCCCCCAGTGCCTCCCATCTAGGCACACACAACCTCTCCGCTCATCTGCTTACAAATCTGCCCCTGTCCCGTGCAGAGACCCACTGCCTGCAGTCAACTCCCAGCCCTCAGACCTGGCGTCCAAGGCACAGGCGCCCTCTCTCCCACACGGCCCCACGCTGGTGAGGCCGGCATTTGACTGCTATGGTGGAAACTGAAGTGAACCGGCTAAATAGAGGGGTTTGTATTTGTCGCTGAGAAGCCCATGTGTGGGCCCCCAGGCTGGCATGGCCTGTCCATGGTCATCAGGTTCCTGTCTTTCTGCTTGGCCATCCTTGGTATATGGCTTCCTTCCTCACCTCCTTAGCCCATGAAGGCACCTGTAGCACCAGCCACCTCATCTGCATCTCACCTCTCCACACCACTGATCATACAGAATGACTGATTCCCTGCATGGTGAGCCAGGGAGAATGTTGGTGCAAAATGTCCACTGGGGGCCAGAGCAGAGGGAGAGAGGGAGGGAGAGAGCATGAGTTCAGAGGGGACATTATGTAAATCATAGCAGGAAGCTCAGGTTTGTTCCAAGTGCAGTGGGGAACTGCTATCTTAAGAGGTCCCTGTCCCTCCAGGCTGCATGGGGTCACTACACACCGTGTCAGGTTGGACGGCAAGAGAGACCGGAGTTCTGTCTGCCTCCCTTCAGCCAGCCTGAGTTCCAGGCTGGTGGGTAACTTCCTCCGAGCCCGTCAGGAAACAGGTGCAGCTCAGAGGAGCGGTACCTGCCCACCCAGAGCTGCCACCCTCCCTGTCCTCCCCCACCCCAGTCCAACTGACCTGCCACAGGGCAGGACCCCTCCCAGGAGCCTCTGCCCTCTGCAGCCCCCACCACCTCTGCCAGTGGCACAGCCAAGCAAGGTCTTCCGCTCCTTCCGGGAGGAGCTGGCCAGGCGAGGAAGGCCACGTATCTCCACAGTATTTGCAGGATGGCAAGAGCCCTGATTTTAGAGCTGTAAGAACAGGGGAACGCGAGTAAGAGGCATCCCCCCACAGCGTGCCTTCCCCTGGGGCCTGGCCGCGGTGTGCCTCCCAGACCGTCCGCCCTGGGCACTTGTGTGCTGCACAGAGTAGGACTGCCCTTGTCCCCTTGCTTGCTGTGTGGTGGGCTGGAGACAGTGCAGCTGCTCGGGGCCCGTGGGGAGGCAGCTGGCCGTGCAGGTTGGGCAGCTCAGGGCCCGGGTCTGGGCGCTGAGGAGAGCGTGGCAGGCAGGCCGTCCCCTCCCGGACGGGGCAGCGGGAAGACCCAGGCTCCGTCTCTTGCAGCCTGTGTGCGCCTCGGGGACGGCCAGCTTCTAGAGGCCGCTGCCAGCCCGCCCACCCTCACCCGCTGGCCTGGGGCTCTGCCCCTCGCTGTAGGTGCAGACAGGCTGGGGACGGTCCACATCCAAGACACGGAAGCACAGCGCCCAGCAGAGCCTGTCTACCCTGCAGCGGCCCCGGAGGCTGCGGTTCAGACAGGCAGATAGGAAGAGCTCCCTGTCACCGCCCCTCATGAAAGAGCGGGCCCCGCCTCGTGGGCGCCCCGCCAGGCTCCGCAGGCCCCCAGCCAGGCCCGCGCCCACCCCGCCCCCCACGCTTGGGGTGCTGGCTGCTGGCGGGGAAGGCGGCCTGTGCTGCCAGAAAGCTGGGGAGCCAGGCAGCCAGATGGCCCCTCCGCAAGGCTGCGGTTGGTGTCTAACTGCTTTTTTATTGGAAAAATATGGGGTGAAAAATTGCGTGGGGCTCATTAGGCAGCCTCCTGGGCCTGCAATGGCTGCCGTCTGCCCCAGTGGCCCAGCCAGGTGGCCGCTTGGCTAGTGCTCCTTGCTGCCCGTGGCCGCAGCGCTCCCTCAAGGGACGTCTGTCTGGCCCGCCCATCTGTCAGGGCCTCTGCCAGCTCTAAGCTGCGGCCGGCCAGGAGGGGCCGGGGTCCCCTGGGGCACCAGCACACTCCCAGGGCCAGCCCACAGCCTCTGGGCTTCACTGTGCTCTCTGCTAACTGCAGGCCCGAGGGGTGCCTGTGGCCTGGGGTGAGCCCCTAGAAAGCAGGTGTGGGGCCGCTTGAAATGAGGCGGGCGGCAGTCGCCCCTCCCCTTGGCCGCCCCTGCCCAGTCTGTGCCCTGTGTCTACACTGAACCCAGTCTGGCCCAGGCCCCTCAGTGCCTGACTGAGGGCCTCCCTGCACCTTTGTTTTCTCTCTGAAATGAGGCTCGTGAGGTCCTCCTCCCAGATCCCTGTGACC